CAAGTTTTTATAACTACCCCAGTGTGCCAGTCCTGCGCCAAACTTTCTTCATCATCTCATTACCAGAGCTGAATGTTTTTCGTTGCCAAAGATGATGACTTAAAAAAAGCTACAAGGTCAGTCTAAATATTCTAGTGCATATTCCATTTGACTTTCCATATTACTATCAGTCAAGTCTGGCATTCTTGCAGCAATACAGCCATACAAGTTAAAAGAATTGGTTCCTGGTGGTTTGCAATGTGTAGGGTATCTGTAATTGCCTTCGTATGGCGGTAGCAGTGGTGAAAAGATTTTCATTGACAGCGGCTTCAATTTTATTATCCAGTTCCTCTGTTGTGCAGTGATTATGGCCTGTCTGGGAACAGTCCTTGGCGGCACCAGTTTCTGCATAGCAAGAAATCACATACTTTTGCATGGTAAAGAATATTAGGGGTATATGTACAGTAAGGGTGCCAACCTAACACATACCAGGAGTGGTTGAGGTATTTGCTCATTCCCAGTTCCAATAACCCCAGGGATGCATTTTTTTTGACTGTACAGTACCTCCTCTCTAGCAAAGGGGATGATATCAGGAAGCTCCATGATACCTATGTCAGTACCTCAGTTTCCTCCAATGATACCTAAAGAGTAGCTTCAGGGGTTTATCTGTACAATATAGCACAGGATAAAAATAAATAAAATCTTTGAAAATTCATAAATCTGTCATTCGTAAATTAGGGTATGTCCATACAGTACTCACCTATGTGGGGGTTTACTGTAATACAATATTGATAGTCCTGAAAGGCCTTAACTCTTCCATGATAGTAAAAGAAGATGACAACTCTCCATAAGTCACAATGCCAGACCAAAAAATTGGATATACAGTACAGTAATATCTTCATTAGCTGGAATCCCTTTTAACAGGAACTCTCCGATAGCCGGAATAGAAATTTTCTCCGAAATCGTTCCCAAATCCGGAATTTTCTGGCTTTGGGAACAATTTTCCAAGGGGCACATTTTCTGGAAAATTTCAAGAAATTTTTCCAGTACTCAGAAAATTCCGGGTTTAAGAGATGAATATCAGGCACATTTTCCGGAAATTCTAAGAAAAATTTCCCGGCACCCTATTTTTCCAGGTTTGATAGATGATATACCTTATTTGCCTGGGTATGAGGCACGGCTTTTCCCCCAAAAAATGCATCACAAATTACCCTGAGTCTAATGCGCCCGTATTATGGATGGGAGGCCGAGAGCCATAGGCGGAGGTGCCTAGCTATGGAGTCTGGGACGAGCAGTAGTCCACTAAGCAAAAAATTGTGTTACTAATAATATTACTGATAATAAAATACTGAAAAACAAGTCAAATTATCAGTCTATTATCACAAACTTACGGAAAATTTGCCGAAGACGTAAATAATGGCTTGCATTGGCTTAACGGCAGAGAGAAGCTCACAACATCTCACTGTACCTCCTTCCCCAGCATACATAACCCACACCAGATACATGTCTTACATTATTTAACGACTATGTTACCTTTAAGAAACATTTGTTTATTATATCTAAATGAAAAATGACCAAAGAAAGATTAAAGAAATGCTAACAGAAAGTTCAGCCGCCAGTCAGCCATTTGCAATGAGTCGATGACGCCAAAACAATAGCGATGGTGCTACACCCTGGTGGCAGATCGCGGCAACAAAAAACATCACAGCCCAAAATACGAGTTTCACATCCTGTCGTCAATTCTCTTGACCAAAATATAAACAAGCCACACAGCTGCTCTGATCAGAGGTAGAGTTGGGTTAGTATAATTTTATGATACAGTAAAGGCTCCGATAACAACGGTTCGACCAACAACTTTTCATATTTAAAACCTTAGTTAATTTAAGAACCCAATTCAATTTACATCCTTATTTTATTTGTATTTACAACCAAAATATAATAAAATTAAAATGAAATTACATTTTCATATAAATAATAACTAAATCCTGATATATATATTATAAAAAATATTGCGCATAGAAGCTGCCTGGCTAATGAGCGGTAAACAACAGTCGGAGCTTGGCGGGCCTCTTGTTTTCACGCATCTGGAACAGGGAGAAAAACTTTCTCGAGTTTTTCACAGCATTTTTGCATCCCTATTCAACATGAGCAAGAGAGCAAGTGATGGTAGTGTTGGTTTAAAAGCTAATAAAAAGTGCATAAGCTTAGCCGTGAAACTAGATGTGTTAAAACAATATGAAAAAGGTGAGAGGTCTGTGGATATTATATGGAGCAAGCAATGAACATATTTTCTGAAGTGGATCCATTAACAGAACTAAGCATTAAAATTTAAATAAACACAAATGACCTCTACATAAGGATGTATAATGAGAAAAGAAAGCAGCTATGCAAGGTTCTTTCGACAGCTTTATTATTCGAAGGCCTAAACCTTCAAAATCAGCATCATAAGCTTCAACATCAACTTCAGGTTCAGTAACAGTTTCAGCAACAGCTTTATGGAAAGCTATTATTTAAAACATATATGAACAGTAAATAAGTGTTGCTTTTCGTATTCATCGTTAGCGTTCTCAATCGTCTCGCCTTATTTCTTTGCCATTAGTGGTTAGCAACTTCTATTGTTCCATTTACTGTATTAACATTAAATAACGTTACTTAAAACATATACAGTATATTAATTTTTTTACATTAATTTTACTACAGCTACAACCAGGGTCTTATTTTCTTCATTTTCTCGTGTAGAACTATCGTCCCGGACTCCCGGCTGTAAACGCAAACAAAAACAATGGCGTCCCATCTCTTGTGTGACCATATTATTATTCATTTATATTGTATAAGGTGCATTCAGAAACATTATTTAAAGAATATAGTTTGCAATTTTCATTAAATGTATTGTTTTTGGGGGAAAAGAGGGTAAAAAGTCACACAAAAGATATGAAAAGGTCACATTTGGGAATGCATCTCATTATTATTGCTTTATTTTAATGGTAATTAATGATTCGCAATTAGACGATTCACCTTACACTGTAATATTGGAGGACAAATTAACGTCGTTATTCGAGGCTTTACTGTACGCGATATGATTTCCTACTTGATTCCAGAATACAGCTCCTCCCCAACTTACGACGGGGTTAGGGACCCAAATTCAGGTCGTAAGTCGAAATGGTCGAAAATGCTTAAATAATACATAGAAAATCTAAAATGGGTGTCTCTTTTTCTTCTCAGCACCACAAAACTCTCACTTTTAAGCTTGCCAGCCATTTTAAAGTGAATTACAAACGAAAATTTTGTCTGTGTACTGACGTTGGGACTCGAAAACACGTAATTTGAAAAAATTGTGGTACGACTGAGGCAGGTCATACGTTAGACGTGGTCGTAAGTCGAGGAAGTCGTAAGTCGGGGAGGAGCTGTATATTTTATGTTTCCCCCTACAAAACCACTTTAAAATCACGATCAATTAATGTATGATGAAACGTACTAAAAAAAATTCCACAAATTATCCTTGTAAAATAGGGGTGCGTCTTACCGGTGGTGCTTCTTATACACCAGCAAATATGGTAATTGGCAATTTCTGGAACTTCCGAGAACATTTTTCCGTTACCCGGAAAATTCCGGCAAAGAGGGATTTTTTCCGATTTTGAGAGTCGTCTCGTTACCCAGAAATCTCTCATTCCAGGAAGTGCCCTACACCAATTGTTCCGGCTAACAGAGAGATATCACTGTACAGTAGTAAAAATATACTGCAGATCCCAGGTTTAATGAGACAGCAGTATCTAAAATTTTCAGGTTGGGGGTTTTCACTGATCAGAAGTTTTCAGCATACCCAATCTTACTGTGACAACTTCACATCTAACTAAATATCACCATACCTTAAACCAGTGGTCCCCAACATTTTTTAAGCTCTGAGCCACATTTGCCATTGTAAATATAGAGGAGGGAGCCAAAACTTTGGATCTACATTCATGAAAAATAAATAAAAAATAACATACAGCATACAGTTATTTGTACACAAGTTATTTTTACTATCTCTCTCTCTCTCTCGTCATATTAAGTTATTAGATGCAGTATTTTCATTATTTTCACTAACAAAGAATTGCATATGTATTTCAAAATTTTCTAACTGTGGGGACCATTGCCTTAAACCCTCCCATATGTCTTAACTACGTACAATTATAAATATTTCTTAATACTGTATTGTATGAAGTCAATACTATATCTAATTTCCCCCCCCCCCCTGCATCATACTGTACTGTACTCCCATTTGTGGTTTCTCTCATGCAGTTAAAGGCCACATCTTCTCCTTACTCCTATGACATTCCCAAGGATTAATACCATCAATACACAAAGACGCTTGAGGAATTGTGCATACCAATATCATACTTACTTTAATATTCTTCCACAAACTTTTCACCAATATGTTTATTAACTTTACAGGATGAAAAATTTATTACTGTTCTAACTTAGTAGACTTGAGTGGGGCAGTTCTATTGAGGCTTTAAAATTTAATGGAATGTGTTTCAATAATATGATTGTGAGGATAAATGTTACCATCCAGCAAAGTATGCCTACCTGGGCAGGGTCCTCAAGAGGTAGGTACTCATCTGTTTGGGGCTATATGGTACAAGTACAATAAACCCTCAATAACTCAGGATTTCATATAACTCGCCGTGGATATGATCTCGGAATGTACTAGTATAACTCAGGAAATGCCAAGATATGTAAAATTACCTGGGAAAAGCTTGGCATTTCTGGCCACCTGCATCACCTACCATGCATCTGTGTCACCTACCATGCATCTGTGTCACCTACTATGATGTTTCATTCTTCGCCAGCAGTGCTGGGAAGTGTTACTTTTTTCCATTTAGTAATCACATGTGGCTCGATAATTTTTTATTGTTGTATTTTTGTAGGAGGGGAAGTGCCTCGATAAGTCGGAATTTGGGATAACTCGGCAAGGCCAGAGCCCCATATGTGCCGAGTTATTGAGGGATTACTGTAGTACTAGGAGCATGTACGGTACTCACCTGTGTGGAGCCTCACGGTAGTACTTCCGGCAAGCAAATTCTGAAGAGGAAGAGGCAGAAATTCCACCACAAGAGGATGGAGTGAGTGGCTCCAATGGAGTAACGACATCACACTCTTCACTCATCATGCACCTGTATGAAGACAAATATCTAAAGTTCTTGCTACACAAAATACGTATACTGTTTGCAAAAGCCATTTTTACTTAATCATATTATGTTTCCATACAAAACTTATCTTTCTAGTCACTTGTAATTGCACAAGCTGTTTAGTCACCCACTTCTTGGAGCCTAACTGTTAACAGGTACAGTACTGAATACATGTATAATACAGAGGCTTCTGAATATGCATAAATATGTGGTAATACTGTACTGGTTTAATTTTGCCTAAGAGGAGTTCACATTTGGTGTTACATCACCATAAACTGGTAGATTATTCAATTAGATTACAAATCTCACCCAGGGAAGTTCTGACAGTTTTTTGTGTTTGCAAATTTTTAGCTAAAGGCCGTCACCTCTAAAGAGAACAGCCAAAGCCTAATTCCCAATCCAACTGAGCAGTTCCCACTGTGGGGCTTATACACATAGTACCGTATACCAACAATATTCGTTACACAAAGGGAAATTGTTGGGCAAAAACATGCAAAAGAAAAAAAATGACAAAAAGAAATCTAACCAAAGAAACCAAAAGGACCTGATCTAACCTCCTAGCCACGGGGTTTTCACCCTCCTGTGCCCCCTGGTATGTATAAAACTTGCCCTAATTATCAGATGCAGGAGGATAAAGGGTAATCCTGGAGCAGATGGCTAACACCAGAACACTTTGCTCGATTTCGTTCATTTTTCCAGAGATGTTCTTTGGATAATAGCAAGTAATAAAATGATATGACAATGTACAGAACCTAATAGAACCAGACCTAATCAACCAAAGAAACCTACCCAACTTCCTAGCCAAGGGTCAGATCCTCCCACCATATTAAACAGAAAGTACAGTACCCTGTACTGTACTTACTTTAATATCTGGTACTATACCAATAAAAGCAATTTTCTTGAAGCGGCACAGTGTAATTTTGCGTGTTTTGTGGACACGAGAGTATGCACGGACCAGGCGAGCATAAACAAACAAAGAGCAGATGACTAGGTTGATAACACAAGCCGACACGACAGATTTTTCGGTTGAATATTTACGGTAAATAATTAATTTATTCACAAAGTACATAGAGATACCATTTTTCACCGTGTTTTAACCTGCAATATCCCCACCCTTCATACTCTGCCCTCTATAGGTGATTATGATCATTGATAGAGAACTAAAAAAGCTGAAGATACATACTTATAATTCAAATAAAAAGTTGTATTTTTTATCACTGTACTCACTATCATCCAAAAAACATGTGGAAAAAAATTGCAAAATCGAACAACTCCTCCTGTGTCAGCCATCTGCTACAGTATGACTGGATAAAGTGTTAATACAGGTGTACTTGAATGAGGAAGTGGTGCAGTATGGTGTTCTCATATTTGTGATGAGCAAAATATTGGCAGTGATGTTCTTTCATGTTGTTGGCACACAGCACCCAACTGACATAGAGAGACGCTATCTTGCATCTACGCATTTCAAATTCCAGAGTTAGCGTATGCTCACAAGTCTTCCCCTGATTGACTCGCAAGTATCATGTGACATACAAACTTCCTCTGATTGGCTGAGTATTAGGTAAACAATGAATTTCCCAGTGAACTCTTACTAATGTATATTTACTTTACAGTAAGTCCTCGCTTAACGTTGTGGTTACGTTTCTGAAAACATGACGTTATAAGAAACAAAATTAAGCAAATTAATTTTCCCCATAAATTACTTTGTATTGGTACTCACCAATGGGCGGCGGTCCGACTAATTACCCAAATGTAGCAAACTGTAGCCGCAATGAAGTCAAATAATGGTCTTACATGAATAAATCAGACTGCTAATCACTTCTCGACTAGTATTTGGTGTCACAAAGTCACAAAAAATTGGAAAACTTTCTTTAATCTGAGTTAATAGATCAAGTGCATGTACCTAACCTAACCTAATCTAAACTAATCTAACCTAACCAAACACAACACAACTCAGATTAAATTAAGCTTTCCAATTTTTTTTGACTTTCTGACACCAAATACTAGTCGAGAAGTGATTGGTAACCCGATTTATTCATGTAGGACCATTATTTGACTTCATTGCGGCTACATTTGGGTAATTAGTCGGACCCTATTAAACCAAATACATCTGTGAAGGACTTAAGGAATGCATGGAATGAAGCCAATCACTAACACATACTGCTATCACTTTAGTCAATTAAATTTTATCTAAAACTAATTCCCATTAGAGAAACTTACCTTTTAACTGAATAACAAGACGAAGTTGTTGCAGCCTAAAGCCGGGAGTCCTCAGTTACTATACTTATCTACAACTTCAATTCACTTTTTATTTTCCTTTCCAATCAACTAACTTTCCAGGTAGTGTTAAAAAAATACGATATAATTCATTTATCTTAAAATCTTCCGCAGAAATAATATACAATCAATAACTATGAAGTCTTCAAGTAACAATTTTCATTCAGTAAGTTTCATATCCGTGTCCAGGTGACTTAGTGGGATTATAATTAACAGGAGTAGACGTCCCAGGTGGGTGATGGTGGAGGCCTCAGGTAGTGGTCGTCTGCTCTCACCCTCTCATTATCACTCCTAGTATGAACCCCAAAATCATCCCGTATAATTGGTTGACTTTATTGAAAACTATGTTCATATATCTAATTAAAAATATCCCCATTTATACCCTCAATTAGTATATTAAATGAAAATGAGTAGTTTATAATCTATTAAATTAGTGATTCAGTTATATCTCAGTACAGGGTATTCGGATTTATTGAAGTTCAATTTGGAGTACAGTATTATTTGGCGCGTAAAGTAAAAAATAAATAGTAAGCAACAAACTTTAATGTTAGTGATGTCAAGAAATATATATCCCACTAAAATTCTTAGCTGTTGAAGGAGATCGGTCGTGGTTTGTAGTGTTTCAACTTTACTTTTTTTACTTACTTTTATCCTCTTCACCACTGATCGGCTCGTTAGCCGTTTGGGCGATCGGTCACGTCTCTGTCAGGCACTGTTGGCAAGTACTGGGCATGCACCAGCTCCTGAATGTACCTGAACCTGCTCCAGTGTTGGTCAAGTCTTGTCTTGAAAGAGCTCACACTCGGTGCCGTCACAACACTTTCTGGCAGGTTGTTCCAAGAGTTCACAACTCTCCAAAAAATTTTACCCTCACTGTCCAGGTATGGACTGAGAAGTGCCCTTTGAGATGTTTATACACGTCAATTAGGTCACCCCTTGTCCGCCTGTAGTATAAGCTAGGTAGTTGCAGGCACTCTAATCTCTGGATAACTGAGGTGCCGCAATACAGGCACCAGTCTGGTGGCCCTCCTGTGGACATTTTTAATCATATCTCAGAGACCAGACGGGGTGACAGTATTCTAGGCGGGGAAGCACCTCACTCTTGAAGACCTTCTTATAAGACCTAATCAGAGACGTGACCGATGGCCCAAGCGGCTAACGAACCGATCAGTGGTGAAGAGGATAAAAGTAAAAGTAAAAGATTCACCTTCTTCTCACAGTGGCCCGAGAACTTCATTTAATTACACTGTCTTCTTTGGGTAAATGTGCTTAGTCTAGGACTAGTTTTGTTGCTTTACTCTATGTTGTAGTTTTCGAGTACAGTACAGATAATTTGATATCTTTGGCTAGATAATGTGACCAATATTGAACGTTACTGTAATGTCACTGTGGGCTTGACATTTGACAAATACAGTGGTACAAACGCAAAATTGAAAGTAAACTCTATCTACCGTTAATTTTAGCCGAAAATACCATAGACTACAAGATGATGATTTCAGGTCTTTTACTTACTTTTACTTTTATCCACTTCGCTACTGATCGGCTTGTTAGCTGATAAATTGGCGAAAATAATAGAAAAAATAGTGTTGTTCCAATCAAGTTGTGGAATTGGATATTGGTTCGATTTTAATTTCAGCTATAAATGTAAACGAAAATGCACATCTGGAGGCATACCTTCCATACAGGATAGATGAATTGCACATTGAGCTATCTAGATACAGTTTTTAATATACTACTTGACTATAAGAGCCCTAAATTATTACCATTATTACCTCCATATTCCAAACCCATTATCCCTCAGGAGGTTCGGGGGTGACGGCACCGAGTGTGAGCTCATTCAAAACCAGACTTGACCAACACAGGAGCAGGTTCAGGTAATTCAGGAGCTGGTGCATGCCCAGTACTTGCCAACAGTGCGTAACAGAGACGTGACCGATCGCCCAAGCGGCTAACGAGCCGATCAGTAGTGAAGAGGATAAAAGTAAGTAAAGTAGACCTAACCGACCCCGGACCCGGGTTCGTTACTCCACTAACTCCAGATTCTGAAACCGCGCGGAAGATAAACACTGCGGCCAGGACGTGAAGGTTTACACTAATTAGTCTGAAGAATATTAATGAAATGTGAATTGATTACTAATACAGCTCTAAGAAGTGTAGAGTGCATATATCAAGTGGTGGTTAATTAATATCACCAGAGGGTTTTATATAACTGCTAAACATTTTCCTCCGAGGTGGTTATGTCATAGGAGTATGTTATGTTAGTGAGTTAAGGTGCTGTGGTAGTGAGGATATTACTTTAAGTAGGACCAAGTCAGGGGGCTGTAGATAGTAACATAAGCCTTCATTAATTATAATGGTTGTTCTCTGTCAAAAGCATACTGATTGAACTGAATATATGTCCATTGCTGAGTAATTACAGAGGTAATCGGTTAGACTATGGACCGGAAATGTGTAGGTAAAGGGTGACATCTTATTAGTACTGTGAAATTGGAGATTAAACTAGGATTACTGATGATAGAATATTCAGTAAAGGTGTAGACAATGGCTACCACCAGAAGGAATTGTCGGAATTGGTTGAATTTTTTTCTACACTAATATATTAAACACAAAAATGGAAACGACAATGCATTGAACCCAATAGAACCTGACCTAACATAACCATAGTTTGGGTATGTTAGGTCAGGTTTTATTAGGTTATATGCATTATTAAACACAATACACATATGATATTAAACACAAAAATGGGACTCATTAAAGGTAAGAAAATTGTTTTTGGCGTTACAAATGCACCTAGAGACGTAATTTTAATGCCATAACATCAGTGTTTGCTGAGTTTTTACCCCGTAATTCCCTCATCCTTCATGCCCCGCCCACTAACAAGGAATTTATGGTCAAAGGATAGAGTAAATGAAAAAAATCTTAAAAATACTTAAAATCATAATAGAAAGTTTTTGTTTCTTTTAATATACTGTACTTAGAATCATCAAAACAATAAGTATAGGAAAAATAAGGAAAATCAACAAACAACTTCTGGTGGTAGCCGTTGTCTACACCTCTACTGAATATTCAGGTGGTAGACATGATATGCCTCATTACACTTTATTTGGTTAGGCTAAATTACCAGTCACGGTAAAATAGCCTGACAGGCTGTTTGGGGATATTTTACCAGTCCTTTGTGTGTGTATTAGAAGTAATGACAATAGCATTTATTGTAGTACAGTACTAGTATGCAAAGAAAAACATGACATATGATATTTATGTAAAAAAAAATTATTTCTTAGGTTAGGTAAGGACCGGCAAAATAGCCCAAAACAACCTGTCGGGATATAGCCGTGACCGGTAGTTTAGCCTGTCATGCTATTTTGCCATGGCCTGTAATTTAGCCACTGCCTACATTATTGGTGATGGTGCAGAAATACAGACAGGGTCATTCCAATACCTTGAATACCCTAATGGAAGTTAGGTGACTACAGTAACAGTTATGTGCCTGAACCAGGAACTTGAGGACATTTCTTACCTCACGAGAAGGCCAAAAAGTGAACAAGGATTCAAACCTTTTTTTGTTATATAATTTTTAAATTTCTTCTGTCCTGAATGTTATACAGTATATGTGAAATGAGAGCTACGACAGACACCGTTGCACCATTGCTTATGCCTGGGAAGTTTTGTTGGCTCATTTCATAGCTAAGAATTTATTTTATTAATGATGATAGAAGATGATAACTCTTAATTTAGGTTAGGTCACTAGGTCAGGTCATTTTATGTACAAATATTCCTGTTTTTTTTTTTTTTTTTTATAATTTTTACCATTTATCAGCACACTAGCCATTCGGGTAGTTGGTCTAGCCTGTGTTAGTACAGGAGGAAACTGGAGACCAGGAAACCTGTGATGTTTGGTAGTGTCACACTGGATAACACCCGTCTGATGTGCGTCCAGGCAGAGGTTCAACCCTTGACATATTAGTGAGAGTTACAAAGTTACCACTGTACCATCAACACCCATCACCTTGATAGTTTAAGAAAAATTAAGACCCTAATCTATCAAAACTACTTACCCTAACCTGTGCTGTATTTTAATTACAGGAAGATTAAATTTACCTTTGATTACAAACCAAAGTTTAGTAAATTGAATTGAATAGCAGATGGTGCCATACATAGTTTGAAATAAATTATGAAGACTTATAGAATTCATCGACTCATCTACATAATAGGATTTTTGGTAAGTTATATTTTAAAGTTTTCTATTGCTAATGATATATTACAGTTGCCATCATAATCACTGTTTTGTGGCCTTTTTCCATACTTGTGTGGATTAGCTGTGATAACCTGATGGCAGTTTTCCAAGTTGCAGGGTATCTTGCAGCCTCTCTTGTCAGGTTCTTGTGTCTGAAGTCATATCTTACAACTTCTCTCCATGTCATTCTTGGCCTACCCGTATCTCTCCTCCCTTCCTTATTCAAACTCATGCATCTCTTGGTCCAGTTGGTCTCTTCCATTGTCTCAAGTGCAGCATGGCTAACTTATGCAATCATGGAAAATTACTAAAAAATGGTAATGATGATGGTCTCTCAGGTCATTTATATCTTCCTCTCAGTCATAAAATTAAATTTCATCTCCGGATCTTCATTTATGAGAAATTGCTTTTCAATTAAGAATACTGTAATTTTAATTATGGTATGAATAGTTAAAATACAATGGAGTAAATCTTATATAGTATTACCATCACAATAATTTACTCTGATTTTAATCTCAAGACAGTGAAATTGAAAATTTTCATGCAATTAAAATTATACTGTTGTTTTGGCACCCAAGAACTAATACTCTTAGTATGTGCTGACTGTTGGCATACCACTTAAGAGTAAGTAAAAAGGATTAATGCACAAATATAGTACAGTACTCTTATTTCAGGACCTGTTTGGAGTGAGCCTAATTCTCCCCTTGATTCTGCCATTGGTAAAGAACTTGGGTGTCTCCCACTTCACTGCTGGGTGCGTCACATCCGTCTATGGCGCTATCCAGTTATTAAGCAGTCCAGTAGTGGTATGTTTACAGTATATTATTTCTGTCAATGTGTTCTTCATGTACAGTGTCTCAATTTTGTCTCAGTATTTATACTGTACTGTAGTATCTCTAGGTGTGATGACTTTAGTTTCAAATATGGTAGTGGCCCCTGTACTTTAGTTTTCTCTGAATAACACGTAAAATCAAATTAATATGGGATGTGGTGTGTAAAAGGGTCAGTGTTATTTTTCATGGTTATGTCCTAAAATATATGGAGGATACTGAAGCGACTGATATTAGGGAATATTTCCCCGAAGAGTTAATGGAATAAGTGAATAAGGGGGGGGGGGTAATTTTCTGTTTGTTCCTAACATCTTTCATAAAAAAAGAAAGGGGAATTTTCTGTCATAAGATTTAATGTAATAAGGTTGAGTTACCTTCCAGTTCATTGCCACTGTACCCTATGATGTCCAAACAAAGAATAAACAAGCAGACACCTTTAGAATATATAGTTTGTTGTTGTACTCAGCGTTGTTGTTTTTGTAGCCAAAAGTTTAGCAGCGGACTTAGCTCTCTGTCCAACTTTACAATTCATCTTAATCATGGAATGACTAGTGGTAGGAGGCAGACTCATCATGTGGGTGATGAAGACTGCATTCTCACCACTGTCAACTCTTTTTAAAACTTCTAAGTTTAACTCTGATGTTCTACTTTTTCTGTCCCTCATACACTCTGACACACTCTTTGTACTTAACACATGCTTTAGACCCATGATGACAATCTAACACTGAGATATAGAAGGATAAAATGCACAAATACCTTAACCCTCGTACACACAAAGATACAGTCAACCCTCACTTTACGCGGTTAATACAACCCACAGGGTACCGCGGAAAGTGAGAAACGCATAGAGTGAACAACATAACATATGGGATTAATTGAAATAGAGACCAGGCCGACCCCCAAACTCCACTTTTTGACGACACACAACTATGTTGTAGTAAAAATTTTATCTTAACTTTATGATGGTATGCACACACAATTAATAATTAAGAGAAATATCAATAATATTAGGTTTTTTAACACTTACATTAGTAGAAAAGATGGCTGGGCACACGGGGATGGGGGGTTGGTTCCGAGGCAGAGGGCAGATTATAATTATTTCATGCAAATAAAAAGTATGTAGAAAGTTAACTACAAAACATCATCCGACTTCTCATTATTTCTGTATGGCATCTTTTTTTTCCTCAGTTTTTATAGTCTGGGCATGTGACATCTCACAAAGGATAACCATGTGGCATCTCAGTTACAGAAAGTGTTGTTTCACTTGTCCACATGATGCTGAAAATAAAAGATATCAACTTCATGTAGTACTGTTTACAAAGCAAACAATAATGCATGTAGCTCTTAAGTGTCAGCAAACCCACCTCACAGATCACAAGCTAAATGTCAGCTGATCCTCCGTGTTGCCAAATGTGTCCAGATTGAGCAACTTTGTATTGTGTTTTCCATGTGGGATGGGAAACAAGAAACATCCGAAATTGTGCTTCTGGACTGTTGCGAGACAGTCGCGCAACAGTCCAGAGACAATGTTGCGCAACAATGTATCTCTGTGTGTATGCTGCCTTAGATACACTGTACAGTATAGTGTTTTCAGAACAAAATTATGAAGCTGGTGTGTAACTGCACATTTCACTAAAAAAATAATTTACAATATTAATATTCTGTACTTCATGAATTAGTGTACAGTACTGTTACAGTATCAATACAAACCCACCATATATAAGATATTTTATAAATCTGTGCACAACATAATGGTGACTGAATACAATATCTTGTTTATTTTAGACACAACAGTAGTGTACAGCTGCACTGGGCTTACATAAGGTACATACCAAAAGAAATTAAAAATAATAATACATTTTATATTTCTTTATTAAAAATTACTTTTATTTATGTGTTGTCTAATTATTCTGCCTGGCAAGACAGTACAAAGGTCCAAACAACAAATATGGGATGTAAATGACAAATAAAAGTAAAGTGTTTCCTAATTTGTGAATGACAAAACTCCTGTATGTTGAATGACAAACAAAGGGGAGATGAATAATGGGGCCCCCCTTGTGTATTACTCCCCCCAAAAAGCGCTGACCTAATATCACAGGTGGACAAGCTAATTATGTGCTTGAACATATGAGGCAGAGAACTGGGGAGGGTACTTTTTCACGATGAATTTATTGAGCCAAGGTTTGCAGAGATGTGGTCAATGTGCTTGAATATTCTTAGGCTGGCACGAGAGAAAATAGCTCCCACGGACCATAGCATTGTATGGTGTGGAAGAATACGGGTGCAATTTTCTTCCTCAAAATAGCAGCATCAATCTACACATGCCCGGCACCCTGCAGGATAAATGCTGGTTGGCTTTAACTGGGGACTTGGAACCCTTCAGTAAGCTACTCTGTGTTATGAGAGCTGCCGTGTTATAAATGCTCAGCCAGAAAAAGGGGTTTCAGGATCAGTCATCCATTTATATAAAATGACTGAGGTTGTGCTGAGATTGTCACCTAATTTTTTTAAGTACGGTAACAGTGATATATCCGTCAGCCGGAACAATTGGTGTAAAGCACTTCCGGGAATGAGAGATTTCCAGGTAACGAGACAACTCTCTCAAAGCCTTTTCGACTTACGACCTGGTTGTCGGGACGGAACCCCGTCGTAAGTCGAGGAGAGACTGTATAGGGAATATTTAATTTTCCATTACAGTACCTATACTGTAATGTATAAGAATTGCACTGTCAAATAAAGCTAATTTTGTTTCCCAAATAATTTTTTTTTAATATAGTATTATGTATACATTAAAATAAGTACTGTACAATAATTTACAAAAGCTCAAAATATGATGTCTCTTTCAAAACTGACTAGGGTCGGTGGAGTGATAATGTGGGCAGGCGACGAGTGATACTGGTGTGTCTACTATTGACTGCCATCAGCTATTTTGTGCTTGGGTCTTCACAGTCTCTGTTGGTGATAATTTTGGGCAGAGGTATTGCAGGTATGTTATTAAAGACAGGTTTTAATATGATGTCTTTACGTGTACAGATATTTCCACTCGTCAAGTAATATTCGTGTAAAACTAAAAAAAAATCTTAAGTAGCTGAAACAAAGCTGTGTTGTTGGTGTAAAGGAGCAATATATGATGTCTAGTACTGTAAAAAGTATTTGAGAGTTTTAGATACAATGCAGTACATTACTTAGTTATTTTAGGTACAATACATTACGGTACTTAAATAGTGATTTATCGTGCCACACTTGAGATTAGTAAGTTTAACTACAATTGAAATATCATTGTTTTTATTAAGACAATATACAGTAGTCCCATTCAACTAAACAGTGAACCCCCATAAGGTTTCTTACTCTCCCATGAGAACACAGAGAAACACACAATATAATTTGTGAGAAGAATTCTATTCAGGCTCCCTCCTTCCTTATTAGGGTTTCCTATGACACCTTTTCAACCTCAAACTGGATATTCTCTCCCCTTGGAACAGTTACCAAGCCAGTTGATAAAATATTATCCTATAAGATAGGCTGAGTTACTTACACTGTGGGTTTGGGAAATTACCCTTGACCACATGTGTACAAACAGGTTGGATCTACAGATAAATGCAAGGTTAACAACACACTTTGATTATCAACACAATTTAAATAATTCTTACAATTCGAAAGAGAGACTGGAATTTCCTTTACTACCATATATGAATAATGCAGGAGTTGTGTGCAAACATAACTTACCTGTATTAGTGTGTTATAAAGCAGAGCTGTCCAACAAACTACTGTATGTACACTTAAACCCCACAATTCAAAAACTTTGGGGCTCTACCCTGGTCAAATTACCCAAAGTTGAGAGATGGCTGGATTGAGGCCTGTTTCTGTATATCCAGTTTGGCTGACAGTGAACAAGGAAAGATGCTAACTCAAGCTACAGTACTGTAGTACTAAGACTCAATTAGTTTTCAGCTTTTAAGCCATAAAATGCCTCCCATACTCCTTTCCAAGGGTTAAGATTGTGATGAAAAAGTTGTACTAATTGCTTTAATTAATGCTCACCATTAATGTTGAGATTTAACCTCTGCCACAACCTGTAGATTTCATGGATTATGGGATGTAGTGTCCCCTTCCTTTCTTATCATTTCTGTAATGTAAAAGTTGTTATTGCTGTAACTACTGTATTACAGTACTGTTGTTTTTGTAGCTCTTACTACATGACTGCAAAAATATGAGGAGACAGAATAACCCTACCCCCTTGCTTCCTACAGGCCTGTCAAGACAGTGATAATGATCCTCCAGCTTGATGTTATTTTTAGATATCCAACTTATTTACAGGAATATTCAAGCACAGTCAGACAGTATGTCGGGCTTTACTAGCAGACATAACTTCTCCAGAAGAGAGATCACAGGTTTTTGGGACATTTAATGCAACATCTAGTATGGGCTTTATCGTAGGTCCCATGCTTGGAGGTAAGACTATCAGTAGTACATGTACACTGTATCCTGTGTTTAGAGCAAGACTTAGTTATTATAAGCTCTTGAATAAGGTTCATACTTTGAGACTTTTTAGAGCAGTTTGGTTTGTTGCAAGAATTATGCTGCTGGTGTTGAATTATACAGTATATTACAATAAAATAGTGATTACTCTTATAGAAAGCTTAATATTTTGGAATATCCTTTACTGTACACATCATGGTTCACTCCCCATCGATAAAATGGATTTTCTGGAATTAATCTTCCTTTTTTTTATTTCAGGTCACATTGCAGAACTTAAGGATGGATTTTCTGTTGTATGTAACCTGGGTGCCTTGTTCTTTCTGCTGGATTTTGGTATGTTGACATAATTTGTAAGTAGGGAACTTTATTAAATACAGTAGAAGTCTATGAAATCGTGAAAATTAGTACGTATTGATTGCTAATTGAGATTACTTGGATGGCCTAGGTGTATGTTGCTTGTAATATCTATGAAATTGCCACCTTTCCTATTGTAATCCTAGTGGAGGTACTGCTATTATAATTATATTTACAACACATTTCTAGACCCATCAGTTCTAACATGGAAAGTCTCTCCAACAGAGGAGCCTCATAATATCATGGTTGTGTATGTTAAAGTTGCTACATTGTATCTGATTAGAACTATAAGTCACATAGTTTGTTTGTATATTTCTGATATATTTAACATTTTATTCTGTTTTTAAATGTAAGTCATCATCATCGCCATTTTGTGGGCATTTTCCACACTTACTTGGGTTAGTTGTTATTAACTGATGGCATGGTATCCCAGTTGCTGCCATGTAAATGTGAAGCAAGTTTTATGTCTGGATGTCCTTCCCAGTTCAACAGAGTGGGAGTTGGGTATTATATGTAGGACTTCTATGTACCCTCTTAGTTGGCAAAGTAGAGTCGCAACTCCTTGTGGACAGATATAACAATATACTGTTTATAATGGTTGTCTCTTGTGTTCGAGACAGGCTGGTCCACCTAGGCATGAATTAGTTTAAAGTGCAGAAGCTTTAGCCAACACAACAACTACACCCTAAGTTAATGAGTTGTATAACCCAGTGTCAAGGAATAATCCATGAAGACCAGACAACTCGCCAACTACAGTGGCTAACCATAGCTCCAGAATGCAATCTGCAGATTGGTTGACATCCAAGTCCCCAATTACTGATGAGTAGACAGATGCATATGACATAAAGAAGCTAAACTTACTCATAGTTTCTCTCTGCATGGATATTGAACCTGGGACCATTCACTTGCAAGCCAAGCATGTTGACCTACAGGTTGTCATGGTGACCTTTTTTAATCTTTGGCTATAAGGTAGGTATCAATAGATTTTATGTAAAGCATGTTGACAAACTTGTGAATCGATGAGATGGGGAAACCTGACTGGATAAAGCATTAAAATCTAATTACTGTACTGCTTTTCTGTTGTGCCCTAATCTGTGGAAACCATTTGCCTAAATGAATCTGTTCTAACTCTGGATGATCTTGGTAAACTACAGATTTTAGGTTATGCTAAAGGAAGACTTCCACAGAAGTGAGGTCTGGAGTGGAGAACTTGATGGCCATTCAACTGGTTCTCATCACCCAATCTTTGTTGATGTCATTATTCTCACCTGAAAAAGACAAAATATATTAATCTTTTTATGGTGCACACTTTATGAGATGCTCTGTACATGTTTTAATGTTAGTAAATCAAGTTTTGATTTTTCATACAATAACCTATAATAATTTTTTCTTCCTCAGTGCTGTGTTGGATGATCATCCCAGATACACTCCAAATGCAACCACAGTCAGCAAAGACAAAACTTGAGAGTGGTAACAGGAGTCAGCTATATGCATTTATGAAGGATATTAATTGGCAGACTTTTTGGGATGTCTTTCTCATCCGATTTTTCCTGAGCTTCTCTACCCTTGTGTACAGATCTAACTTTTCACTTTTGGTTGTTCAAAACTTTGGAGCCAGCCCAAAGGTTATTGGATACCTCATTTCATTCCAGGTAAGAATTACGTGATTTACTTTTAATCTTTTACTACTCAAAGTTGAATGAAACTATTTCAAATAGTTTTCATAAATATTTACAGAAAGTAATCCAGTTTTTATTCTGATCCATGGTTGGTCAGTTGAAGTACGGCCGTATGAGAGAGAACAAGCACACGCCATTAAAAAAAATACCCTCATTATCACAACTTACATAATTCTTGTATGCACTCTTACATTTATAATATGATTACTGTATTGTGTTAAGTTAAGACTACTGTCAGCCATCTGGGGTATGTAGCGAGTCAGAAGTCTGGGGGCTGTGGGGGAGGCATATTGGCCCTTTGGTGCATCTGGTGGTGAGGCCAAAGGTGGTCATGTCCCCTTTCGATGACTGGGGTCACTGGCTAGGGAGTTCCTGCAGTATGTGCGGGTGTAGGCCAAAAAAAGTTGAGGTAGCATCTGCACCAGGTACAGTTCATGTCCTCTCTTGAGGTTTCATCATGCCATGGGGAGTCTTTGGTTGGTGGCTCCTGCTGGTGGAGAGTGTTATACCTTATGTCCTCCCCCATCTGTTGCATGTTGGAGTTCAGAGGTGTGTTTCGGATCACCGTGCCTCGTCTTATGTGGTGCACTACATATTATTAAATTTTTAGGGTTTTGTTAGGGTATGACTTCATGTCTGATGCATTGATGATCATGGTACTGTAAAACTACCTTGCCCCTGATTAGAGGTACTGTAGTTCACTTTTGATTCTTAAGTCATAGGCTAAGGTTATTGTTGTGTAACTAAACTGAATTTTGCACTTTTCTGTACTTTTACTAAATTCATTGTTTACTTCCACTTTTGTTAGCTCTGTTTAATTTTTATGACACTTGCTTTATCAAATGAATGACAAGGCCAGTGCTTACTAATTACCTTTAATTCATATAACTATTTCAACAGGGGATTATCAGTGCCATGGCTGGTTTCTTCATGGGCCCAGTATCAAAGTTCTACAGAAACTCCCAGAGAGAACTATACTATGGCTCCCTATTGCTGACTTTATCTCTGTTGGGACTCACTGTTGCTCCATCACTCACTTTACTCATGGTATGCTTGGTACCATTATGTGTTAGCTCAGCAGTTATACGAGTCAGTGGCACTGCTGTCACAATTAGTCGATGTGAGCCATCAAAGGTAAGTTTAGTCCGTCCTGCCCCTTTGTAAACTTTGTACTGCACTGTATTTAGTATCTTAGCATAGTACACTCAAGTGCCCACAGGCAGTCATGCATCTGCTTGTCGGTGCTGCTCAGAATGGATAAGCACACTCAAGTATACAGACTATTTGTTTGTTATCAATATAAACATGTTTTATCAATCTCAAGAAAGGTCAATGGAAAATTTTTTGAATTTATCTCTTTAAATACCCGAGATTGCAGAAATATTATCTAAATCTGGGATCACACGAATGCTTTTATGAGCAATTAATTTGAAGCAAGAATTTTGGAGCAAGAAAATATTTTTAAAAATTTCAAAACGTGGTTACACGGGTGGTTCTTGCTCAAGGTTCTTAAGCATGAAGAAAACAAGAGTATGCTGCCATGTAAGTAGATGGGAGACAGAGCATCACAACAAGGCTAGATAATGCAGATGACACAGCATCTACCCTTGGTATTTTTTTATTATTAAAATGAAATGAGAAATTGAAGAAAAACGATTGTGGACTCGTAAGTGGCTGGCAAGGAGGAAGACTAATACTGTAGTGTTATTATAGAATGGTTAGAAAGTTGAGCTTGGAGCACCCAGAGAAGGGTAACTTCTCTACTTTGCTCATCTTGTTGGACTTTAGTTTGGAGCTACAGTAGGAAGGGCTGTATGAGTGTGAACGGCTGCATGCACTTGTGTTTTGTGAACAAACACATCAAGTCAGCACCCAAATTCTAAACTCCATATGTCTTAGAAAATCTGTTAGTTTATTTTATATACAGTGATCCTCAGTTAACGAACGGTTCGATTAACGAAATTTCGGTTAACGAATTACCTCCCATAAGGATCTTCAATTCGGTTAACGAACAAAACTTCGATCGACGAAATCCTTACGAACATCACGTTTTGTTGTGAGCATCAGCTGATCAGCTGATGGACTAGTCTGCCAATTCAGTAATCTGTTCTATGTTTACATTTGTTTTCAGTGAAGTAAATATCAAGAAAGTTGTGCTCATTAATATTTTGCATTTTTTATATTAAAATTATTAGTCATTTTAACATATTGATAATATATGCAGTACAGGGAACTAGTTTTTTTTTGCGCCCATCAGACGCTTGATTCAGCCACCAGGTGTCAGTTGGGCTTTGTTGACAATGGAGTAAACATCTATTTTGTTGGTGTCTTGAATATTTTTGCATTTTTACATTGAAATTATTGGTCATTCTGAACTTTAGTTAACATATTGATAATATATACTTGTAGTGTAGTGCAGTGTTGATATAAATAAAATAATCTTGAATTACACCCAGTGAACTTAAAATTTTATTGGTGAAATGACGGCATCAAGCATGGGTCCCCTGAAAGGTGATTTCTCCTCCATCCCCACTTCCTTCTCTTCTCCCTTCTCCTCCACCCCCACTTCTAATTCCCATCATCATCATCAACCAGGAGCCTTCTACATACACACCTTAAAGTAAGAGTACTTTACTGCATTTTTTTTTTACTTTGTATGTACTTTTTGGTGAGCTAGAATCAATTAACCAATATCCCATTGAAACAATGGATTCGGTTAACGAATTTTTAGGTTAACAAACGACCCTCTGGAACTAATTGTGTTCGTTAACCGAGGGACCACTGTATGATAATGTTATTAACCTATGTTTTATATACAAGTACAGTATATACTGTACAGACAGTGCAGTACAGTTGGTCCTCATATTACGCGGTTAATGTAACCCGGAGGGTACCGCGGAAAGTGAGAAACGCGTAAAGTGAATAACATAACATATGGGATTAATTGAAATGGAGTCCGGGCCGATCCCCAAACTCCACTTTTTGACGACACACAACTATGTTGTAGTAAAAATATTATCTTAACTTTATGATGGTATGCACACACAATTAATAATTAAGAGAAATATCAATAATATTAGGTTTTTTAACACTTACATTAGTAGAAAAGATGGCTGGGCACACGGGGATGGGCGGTTGGTTCCGAGGCAGAGGGCAGATTATTGGCCCTCACCTGTATCACTTGTATCAATTGTATCACTATCCACCACAGAGGCTTGCAGGGCCTCTTTGTCAAACCCCCCAAAGTTCATATAAGTCCATATCCTCACTATAATTATCACTATCACTGACTTGGGCCGGCTGTAGTGGGTGGCGGGTGAAGAACTGGTCATGTTTTGATGACTGGGCGACCTTGTGCGCACCATTTTCGCGCCTCTTACACAACATGGCGGATGGCGGGAGGTTTGGATCCAAAAATGGCGCGGCTTGCCAGCCGCTCTCCGCGTAATGGGGTTCACGACCGCGGAATGTGAAAATGTTAGGTTCTGGCAAGGCACCGCGTTAACGGTGAAACGCGGAATGCGGGACCGCGTAATATGAGGACCAACTGTATATGTAAATACTTGATAAATAAGCTTTTTGTCATTGAATATAGTATTAACAGTGTTAGGGCCTGGGAAACTTGCTCGAAATCATGCAGAATTGATGATCATGGTCATCCAATGAAATTTCTCCCAAAACTTTAGTGAATTACTGGAAAATTGCTCGAAATAAGTTTCAGTACAAAAATTGCTCATAAAAGCGCTCGTGTGACCCCTTAGGCCTATTGTAGAATATGCATGTGCCTATGGCAACCACAGTGCTTCTTGTCCAAATTATCTCTGCTCTGTTACTTTTTCTCTGAAGCTTGAGGTCATTTGTGTACATATACTTTGTTGTTGATTGATACAGATTTTTTTTTCTCAATATCAAAGAATTAATATGATTCTCGATGGCAGATTGGATCTGTGACTGGATTCGGGCAAAGCATCACATCAGTGGCTCGTATGGTCACCCCACTCATAGCTGGGATCTCTCAAGAAATTAGTGTGTATGGTCCAGGCATGATGGGAACTGTGTCAGCAGGAATAGGTGCTGCTCTTTCAGGTTACATTGCATGTAAAAAGGCATTGAAAGAAGATTAATACTACAGGGGGTATTTTATTAAGATTTGGTGTGACTTTGTTTAATACAGTACAGTAAAACCTCCATAATTTATAACTTCATCATTCATAATGCATTATAATTTATTTATTTTTAGAGCTTACTAACCTAACCTCAGGTTTGCATAAACTGAAATCTCTTAAAACAGTCAACTATTTAATTCCTTGTATACGGCGATCTCTGTGCTGAATAAATTTGTCTGGTGTTATCCAAATACGGCCTGTAATATAACAAAAGTGACTTCTCCATTTTGAAGGGGCTAACTATGAAAAATAGGGATGAGGTCCACAACCTATATTGTACCTCCCCAGACCAATTCTGTTCCTGTTCAATCAAAATATTGTCCTCGTATCTGAGGTTTAGTGACCACAGTCCTCCACTCAAAACTTTTTTTTGGCTGTTTTCACTAATCCTCCAAGATTTTGTATATCTCTGGGAACCCAGTTTTTTATTTCATTAATTCATCCCAGTCCCTGCCTTCTCCTGGCCCTCGTACCCTCAACTTTGCCCATTAATATTTCTGTTATTATCCCCATATTCCTAATTATATGATGAAAGTATTTAATTTTTCATTTTGTCTACATTTCAAGTATTACTCTTGGAGTTTTTGCTAATCTTAGTATTTCGTTTATTTTCCTTTCAGTGTAGCTTATTTTTACCATATACGTATAACACGTGTTTGCTGAAAGTGTCCATCCTTCTAACCCATACATCAGTCCTTGCCATATAAAGCCTTTCAGCAGCCTTTTTATTTTTCAATTTGAAATTTATGTCCCTTTTTAGTAAGTCTTTTGGATTATTAAATGCTTTTTTTTCCTTGCCCTATTCTTGTTATGAGTTCTTCCGTACATCTACCTTTACAGCTATTGTGACTACCCAAATACACAAACTTTCCACTTGTTTACGTTCCCTGTTGCCTACCATAATTTTTGTTTTGGATTTACTGTACAGGTATTTCCAATTACAGTACTTTAGTCTTTACAGTGTTAACTCTTAAACCATATTGTTCACCTTTTCTACTAATTTGTTAATAACTTTTTTTTTTATAATATCTCTTCACTATCTGTAATAAGACCAGTATCATCTCCATACAGTAGCATATACAGCTAGACCCCGACTTATGACGGGGTTAGGGACCCAAATCCAGGCCGTAAGTCCGAATGGTCGCAAGTCCGACAAAGATAAAAAAAAATTTTTTTTTTTTAATAAAAAATCTACAATGAAATACAGTACAATAAAAGTAATAAATATTGAGGAATGGATACAGTACAGTGAAAGTAATAAATAATAAGGAATGGATACAGTGTGACTGAGCACTTACTTTAATGTAGTCAGCTAAATGCACATGGGGCCCCCATAATTTTCTAATTATACATGGAGACTACATTAACTGGAAACATTTCGGTATAGAAAATGCGTGCGTCATTTGAAAAAAAAAAATGGTCTCAACTGCGGCGGTCATAAGTCCCGACGGTCGTAAGTCGAAGCAGTCGTAAGTCGGGGTCTAGCTGTATTGTATTTGATATTACTATACCATTAACTTTTCATCTTTTATTATCACTTATAACTTCTCACATTAAAAATTATGAATATTTATGTTAAGTTATTAGAATATAAATGGATATAATATTGATGACCTAAGTGCTTTTAATTCATCTTAGTCATGTAGTGTGCAGACGCACCAGATATTATGTAATGTACACTTGGTAAAAAAACTATCGTACAGGTGAGGTCCGTTGATTTCCCAACTGAACATTCCCGTTGTCTTGCGAGGGTTGGCAGGCCTGAATGTGAGACATTTTGTACTTAATTTGGTAGGCCGAAATTAGCTATTTCCTTGACAATATTGAATTACTTTGTTCCAATTTGATTGGAGAATGTCAGTACAGTATATCTAGATAAGTTAAACTGTATGTTAGGTTAAATGTTCCACACACCGTGGACTACAGTAACCATGGAAGTGGATGAGTTGTCATATAGGAATGCATTATATGATTGGCAGAATTAGTGGATAGAGTAAAGGTATAAGATTATTTTACAACCGAATTTTGAATCTGTATTTGTATTGCTACTTCACTTTGGGCTGATGCCACATTATGTTATTCTTTATTCGCATTGGAAAATATACCATGCTGTTCCGAAACATCTGAATGGCTCCACAGTTTTGCATGCCGTCATAATGGAACCTGTCCCAACGACGGTTACCATACGGTCGATAATTCCGGAAAGTTTAGTGCTGGGTTTCGTTTCAGAGTGCCAATCACTTGTTTCGAGCATGTGTGGCCGAACCCATACACGCACAGGGCTACCAATGCGAGGAATGCCTCAGGGGCCTTATTGAACCACTTCGTTTGTAGTGTCAGTTTGTTTCGAGCTGGAATTGTAAAGGTAGTTTTTTTACCAAGTGTACTCACTAATATTCCGTCCAGAACATCTTATTGAAAAAGCACAATACAGTACTGTATGTATTTTAAATTACTAATTTCAATACAAACCCACAGAGACATTTTGATGTAAATATATGGAATAGCCAGGTTATTTCTCTATGGGAGGGGTTAGAGTTTTGGGTGGCAGGTTGAGTGAGGCTTGGTGTGTGTCAAATTTTAAATAGTGTTCATGTGATAACTCATGCCAAATCACGTATTGGCTGGCTTGCCTTCATAAAGGACAGATTAGTGTAAAATAATTCCACATATACAGTACTGTATAAGCAGATTTATATTGTGCACTCGCATTTGATGAGGAACAACTGTACTGGGAGGCAGAAAGTATGAAAGACCATGATTTAACATGTTCAACCACATATGCTAAGACCAAAATTATCTCCCGTAGTGAATTTCTGGCAGAATTAGGGGCCTTTCCTATACCCAAATTTGTATATGCTGAACTTTTAATATTTACAGTTTTTATTCTACTGTATTACATAAAACACTAAATACTGTGATTAAGGAATGCAAAGAAGGTAAGTACGTATTACCTCACATACCCTTACTGGCTGAACTAAATCATATTGTAAACCACTAATGCTGTATACAAAAACAACTGATAAAAATGCAACTACTGTATAATAGGTTGTGCGTTAACTTTATTGGCAGCGTTGTAAACAATTGATCATAATTCAGATTTTGCCTTATTTTTGCAAGGGTAGAATCATTATTCTGAGTTATGGAAGTTTTACTGTATACATGAACAGGTGTCTGTTCTTTAGTTGTCTAGCTGGAGTTATACTGCCAGCAGATTCTAAGAAAAAAAAATGGTTTATTTAAGAACTGCCGAGCCAAAGAGCTCAGCAAATCATATCATCTTCCAATCGAGGAAAATCCTAAAACCAGAAATCTTTCTTGTGCCACTTTATTGGATCTGTTTACTAGAATGATATACTGTACTACATGATGACAATACCTGCCATTGGTTGCTCCTCAGAGTTTTTTGATATAATATGTGACTTTATTGACTTAAAATAACAGAATCTCACTGTAACTTACTGCACATTTGGCTTATTATGACAGTGTCTGTACCAGATAATTCTTGTATTTAACCATCTGGTTTATGAGTTGGAAACCTAGTTTGACCCTCTACAGTAGTGGCTGGGACTGCACATAACTTCATGTTTAGCCATAAACTATCATTCCAGGCTTTAGATCTTAGTTCCAGATTGTTCCAAGCAAAGCAGATGTCTCAAATTATAGCCTGACTCCTTAAGGCACAAGAACGCAGACACTACGCTGAATATCATAACTAGTAAAGTGACCCATTTGATCGATAAATATATACCCAAGACCAAACCCAGTGCCTCTAGAAATACAAGGAGATCCCTACACATGAACCATGCGGCGGTCGACAAAGTTAAGAAGAAAACCCAGAAATTCAAGACGTGGGTTGGGTCAAACGATGAGCACGACAGGAGGATGTATGCAAGAGCCAGAAACCAAGCGAAGGTAGAGTGTAGAAGGGCTGAAAAGGAGTTCCAGAGGCTGTTTGCAAGCGAGGTCAAGTCAAACCCAAAGGCATTTTACCGCTATGCAAAGTCAAAATTAAAAATCCGAGTAGGAGTATCTGACCTGAGGCTTGAAGATGGTAGTTAAGCAGATTCTGACTGGGATAAAGCTGAGGCATTGAACAGCTTCTTTTCCTCGGTGTTCACAAGAGAGGATGCGATTAACCTTCTTGCATTTGAGGACAGACGGTTCGACAGCACTGACCCACATTGTGTTCACAGAAGAAGGTATTAGAAATAAACTCAAAGCAAAAGGTCCATAAGAGTCCCGGCCCTGACATGATGCATCCGAGAGTGCTGAGAGAGTTGCGTAATGAGCTTGCCGAGTCCCTGAAGATCCTGTTTTGTAAATGCCTCGATGAACAAAAGGTCCCCAGTGATTGGAAAGTGGCTTATGTGAGTCCTATCTTCAAGAAGGGCGATCGTCACTCCACGAACAACTATAGACCGGTGAGCCTGACCAGCATTATATGTAAAATACTTGAGAGTATAATCAGAGATGCCTCGATGAAACATCTACAATTGCTCAAAATATTGGATATTTGGACCCATATTCTGGAATGGGTGGTAATTCGACAATATATACCTTGATTTTGCCAAGGCTTTCGACAGTGTATCCCACGAAAGGCTGAAAATCAAACTGGAAGGGTACGGAATTCGGGAAATGTCCTTTAGCGTGGATAGAAGACTTTCTACATGACCGCAAGCAGTGTGTGGTGATTAATGGCACGAAATCATCATCTGTACCTGTCACAAGCAGGGTACCACAGGGCAGTGTATTGGGCCTGCTGTTGTTTGTTTGTTTCATAAATGACATGCCTGACATTGTTCACTCCTCTATGCAAATGTTTGCCGATGACGCCAAGTTATTTCGGGAAATCAAGAGCCATGTGGACTGTGAAGAGCCACAGAAGGACCTCTGTGAGCTCCAAGAATGGTCGAAGAAATGGCTGTTGAGATTCAATGTCACGAAGTGTAAGAGGATGCACCTGGGGCGTACCAACGGTAAGGAGGTGTATCATATGTTCTAACAGGATGAAGAAACTGCCCTATTTGAGACTGAATGTGAGAAGGACCTAGGTATGTATGTTGACAATGAGCTGAAGTTCTCGGGCCATTGCGAGAAGAAGGTATCTAGACGGTCCATCCCTCATAACGATCTTCAAGAGTGAAGTGCTTCCCCATCTGGAGTACTGTCTGGTCCCCGAGATATGCCAGGGACTGTCAGTTGGTTGAAAATGTTCAGAGGAGGGCCACCAGACTGGTGCCTGCACTTTGGCACCTCATCTACCCTGAGAGATTGGAGCGCCTGAACTTGCCGAGCTTATACTACAGATGGGCAAGGGGGGACCTAGTTGAGGTGTATAAGCATCTCAAGGGGCACTACTCAGTCGAGTGTCCATACTTGGAGCTGGCGGACGCTTGCCCCACAAGGGGTCACAGCTCAAGATTGAAGAAGCTGCAGGCCAGAAATCTGTGAGGGCAAACTATTTCGGAGTGAGAGTTGTGAACTCTTGGAACAATCTACTAGAAAGTGTTGTGACGGCACCGAGTGTGAGCTCTTTGAAGAACAGACTTGACCAACACTGGAACAGGTTCAGGTACATTCAGGAGCCGGTGCATGCCCAGTACTTGCCAATAGTGCGTAACAGAGACGTGAACAATCGCACAAGCGGCTACCGAGCCAATCAGCGGTGAAGAGGATAAAAGTAAGTAAAAGTAAATTTGCCACATAACCAGGAGTAAA